ACTTTTGGTGTCATTATGATGGGGAAAAAAGATTTTCGATTTTTATAAAAAGTTTTTTTTTTTTTTTTTAATTTGGCCCCCCCTGAAACAATTTCTGGAGGGGGGCCTGCCCAACCCCTAAAAGGGGTTAAAAAGATTTGCCCGATGCCCCATTTGGGAAATTTTGGGCAGTGTCTTCGTATGGGGGACACTCTTGCAACTCTGGTGTCATCAGAAAAGGGAAAGGGACACTGCTTTTGGCTTACATATCTGGGATGGGGCACAAGATGGGAGAGGGGTACGGTGTTTTTTTGGAAAAAATTTTCTACCTCAGACTTTACTGTTTACTATTCCCTGTGTTTTTACTACCCTGTTAGGAATTTTAAAAGACCATCTACCAACTTTGTTACAAAATGTATGCTATTACACCATGGTCGAACTTGTCAAAGGCTTTCAAAGTTTATACAAAGTTGATTTTGTTTGTCCCCACAAATCCAAAACCTTTCAGGGGATCCAATATTTAAGACAGGAAAACGGGCAGCACCCCTGTTTCAAAAAACCCATGTTGCCCGGGATTTTTTAAAATGTTTGGGTATCAAGATGGGGGGGAAAATCTTGCTTCTTAGAACCCTTTCCCAAAAAAGTATGATATAGGATTTAAAGCACTTCATAATTTTTTCTCAACTCCTTTTTTACCCCTTTTGTGGAGTGGGACCATTTTTTTTTAGTGACTGGGAATCCCCCCGTGCCCAATGTTCCCTCTCCACAGATCTAAAGGCCCCAAAAATTGGGGTTTCTTGCAGTTCTTTATGAAAAAATTAAATTTCCCAAAGAGGGGTCGAAGTCATGGGTTTTTAAAAAAGTTTTTTCTAATTTCCCAAAATCGAGGTCAATTTTCCATTTACGTTTTGACTGTGGTTAACACCAACAGAATTACAATACATACCTGTCAATTTTTTTGGGGAGAATTTTTAAAATCCCTGTACATTAAATTACTTCTAGTCAAACAATTTTTAAAAAAAAAATTTACAAATTATTTACATACTACTGGTAGGGAAAATTTCCCACTGTGTATTTATAAAAAAAATTGTTACAATCTGAAGTTTGGAAATTGAAAAATTATAAAAGGGAAAATTTTTTTTTGCTGAAATTCCACAGGATTCAAATTTTTAAAGCTTTAAAAAACTTACCTGTTTTTTTTGACAAAATTACTCTTAAAAAACCCTTATCAGCCATTTGAAAAATAACTGGCATGAGCTTTTTCTTCAGTTTGCAAGAATAGTAAAACAAGCTTTGTCTTCCAGGACTGCCATCCAGACCCGAAAGTAAACAGTTTTTAAACCTACAATATTTTTTTTTCCTTTTTGCTCCCAATTTTAAAAAAAGATTCATTATATTCACTTTTTTTAAGTAGATTTCAATTTAGGGAAATATTTAAACAAGGGGGTTTCCCAAATTTTCAAACCAAATTCCTTTTAACTTACTTTAGTGAAAAGCACAAGGCAGAAAACGGGAAATTTATAGGGCTTTATAATTACCATGCTATTCCGGTAGACAAAGCTCCTTTAGGTACTTAGCCGGGTTTTGGGTTGGGCCCGGGATCAAACCTTAAAAAAAAATAGGAAAATAACAAATTAAAAAGCCAGAGAAAAAAAAGGATTTTTCAGTTAAAAATAGGAAGGAGAAATTAATTTAAAAGGAAAAAGTTAGAGGTTTTTGGGAAGATGGAGGGAATATTTTTTAGGAATTGTTAAAATTTTTTGAAGATAGGGAAAACTTTTGATTTCATGGGATAAAGGGGAAAGGAGGAATAACATTTGTTTAGGAGTGGAAGGGGAAAAGCCAGTTGTGATTTTGGGGGGGAAATTTGGGGAGGCGTAGGTAAAAAATTTAAAGGGGGGTTTTAAAGGGAGCCGGGGTTTAAAAGGGGATAAAGATAGAAATTTTTAAAAGCAGGTGGGAAATAAATTTTTTAGGTGGGTTTGGGTGCAAATTTTTTAATAAATGTATGGAAGATTAAGGTACCAGGGATTGGCAGAGGGGAAAGATAGTTTCCCTTTTTAAAAAAATCAAAAGGGGGGGAAAAAAAGTGCAAAAATTTTTTAAAAGGGGGATAAGTCGTTGAGTATACCGGTTTAAAAAGGGATGTAGTTAAATTTTTGAAAAAATTAAGGGGTAAGATGGAGAAAGGGTTTGCAGATGAAAAAGGAGGCTTTTTGGAAAAAGGGAGGGGGTTTTGTGGACCAAAGGTGTTTTCAGTGAAACATATAATTGGGAAAAATTTTTTAATAAGGCAAAAGGTCTTTGTGGGGATTTATGGATTTTGGGAAAAGGCTTTTGACAGGGGGGGTTTGGGGGGGAATTTTGGGCCGATTTTTGCAGGTTTTAAAATGTAGGAGGTTTGGGTTAAATGAAAACAGGGAAGAGTTTTTTTTCGGGTTTGGGAGGCTCAAGTTAAAAGTATGAAGGGGAAAAGGGAAATTATTTTCCCCGTAAAAGTAGGCCTTAGACAAGGATGTGTGAAAGTCCCCCGGGGGTTGTTTAAATATTTATAGATGGGGTTGTAAGGAAGTAAATGCGGGGGGTCTTGGGAAGAGGCGTTTGATTTTTAAAAATAAAAAATCACAAAAAAGTGGGGGGTTTTCCCCAGTTGTCTTTGGGTGATGATACCCGGGGCTCCCCTTTGGGAGATTCTGAAAAAAAGTTGCAGAAAAATTTGGGGGATGAATTTTTTGGTTTTGGGTTTTGCAAAAAGAAGGAAAAAATGAAAGGGGAAAAAACAAAAAAAGGGGTAAGGTTTTTTGAGGATAAAAAGAATTTTGGGAGAAAGAAAAAGGAAAATCAGATTGGAGGGGGAAAAGTATGGAGGGGGTGAATGTATTCAGATATTTGGGAGTTGACATGTCAGCGGATGGGTCTATGAAAGATGAGGTGAATCATAGAATTGATGAGGGGAAAAGGGTGAGTGGTGTGCACTTAGGAGTCTGTGGAGACAAAAACTTTGTCCTTGGAGGCAAAGAGGGGAATGTAGAGAGTATAGTTTTACCCAACCTCTTATAGGGGGTTGTGAAGCAGGGGTGATGAATGTTGCAGCGAGGAGAAGGCTGGAGGCAGTGGAGATATGTCGAGAGCAATGTGTGGTGTGAATATAATGCGGAGAAATTCGTAGTTTGGAAGTTAGGAGGAGGTGCGGGATTACCAAAACTGTTGTCCAGAGGGGCGGAGGAAGGGTTGTTGGGGTGGTTCGGACACGTGGAGAGAAGGGAAAACGAAACAGAATAACTTGATTCAAGAGTGCATCAGTCTGTAGTAGAAGGAAGGGGGGTAGGGGTCGGCCTAGGAAAGGTTGTGAGGGAGGGTAAAGGAGGTTTTTGTGTGCGAGGGGCTTGGACTTCCAGCAGGCATGCGAGAGCGTGTTTGATAGGAGTGAATGGAGACAAATGGTTTTTAATACTTGACGTGCTGTTGGATTTGTGAGCAAAGTAACATTTAGGGAAGGGGTTCAGGGAAACCGGCAGGCCGGACTTGAGTCCTGGAGATGGGAAGTACAGTGCCTGCACTCTGAAGGAGGGGTGTTAATGTTGCAGTTTAAAAACTGTAGTGTAAAGCACCCTTCTGGCAAGACAGTGATGGAGTGAATGATGGTGAAAGTTTTTCTTTTTTCGGGCCACCCCTGCCTTGGTGGGAATCGGCCAGTGTGATAAAAAAAAATAAATAAAAAAAAAAATTTTTTTTTTAACACGCCAGCCATCTCCTACCAAGGCAGGGTGACCCAAAAAAGAAACACCATCCATACTTAATCACTGTCTTTGCAGAGGTGTCCAGATATGACAATTCAGATGTCACTAAACACCCAATATCCCAAACCCCTCCTTTAAAGTGCAGGCATTGTACTTCCCACCTACAGGACTCAAGTCCAGCTAACCAGTTTCCTTGAATCCCTTCACAAAATATTACCCTGCTCACACCAACAGCTCTTCAGGTACCAAAAACCATTTGTCTCCATTCTTATCTAACATGCTGACATGCCTACTGCATGTCCAGGCCTCTTGCACACAACTTCTTTACCTTGTTCCTCCATCCTTTACTAAGACAACCTCTACCCCCTCCTCCTTTACACTACAGATTTATACCCTCCAAGTCAATATCTTTCTCTATCCTCTCTAAACGAGGAAATCACCTTAATAACCCCTCTTCAGACCTCTTGAATAATACTTTTAGTAACGTCACACTTCCTAATTTGTACACTACTTATTCTCTGCATAATATTTACACCACACTACCCTTAGAGGCAGTGGCCTGGTCACAGACTGGGCCGCTAATCCCCGAAGCCCTCTCCAGGTATAGACATGACACCTCCACTGCCTCAAGCCTCTCTCACTGCAGCATTCACGACCCATGCATCACATCCATACAAGTGTTGGTATCACTACTCTCTCGTACATTCCCTTCTTTGCCTCCATGGATTGAGTTTCTGGTCTCTAGAAACCTCAATGCACCATTTTTTTTTTTTCCTTCATCAATTCTATGCTTAACCTCATCGTTCATAAACCCATATGCTGACAAATCTACTCCCAAATATCTGAGCACATTCACTTTTTCCATACTCGCTCCCTCCAATGTGATATCCAGTTTTTCTTTACGTAACTCGTTTGATACCCTCATCACCTTACTCTTATCTATGTTCACTTTCAACTTTCTTTACACACCCTTCCAAACTCATCCACTAACCTTTCCAATTTCTTTAGAATCTCCCAGAAGCACAGTATCATCACTACACAGTAACAATTCCCATTTTGCACTTTATTCCCCATAATTTAGTCCCACCCCAGTCTCCAACACCATAGCATTTACTTTTACAACTCCATCTATAAATGTACACCCCCCCCCTAAAAAAAAAAAAAAAAAAAAAAAAAAAGCAAGCCGGCTGTTTTCCACTGAGGCAGGGTGACCCAGAAAGATGTACATGTTAAAACTTTCCTAACATGCCCTATTCAATTTACCTAATTCATTTAAACTATCCAATTTCTAGTTTTTCACATGCACACCACTTCATAGAAAATATAAACCACAGTACTTACTGATCCAGCTTTACTGTTTCTTCGGAGAAAATGCAATGGAAGTGGATAGGATACATTGAAATCTAGTGTTTTGAGAATATTTACTTCCATTTTGCGAATTTCATTTTTGGTGTATGCCTTATCTGTGATGTATGCAAAATCTGCAATGTCTGGAGAATACATTTCTTCATATTTACTCGCTATAAACATGGCTGTCACGCCAACTAACTGCAGTTTACTGCGAGAGACAGTTCTTTCACGCTGTTGAAAGAAATTAAAGTTAAACCAAAATATATTAAAATTAAACCATAAAAATATATTAATGGCATTCACATTGGGGTTAAACCACTAAGAAGTCTTTAGGTACAAATAAAGGTCTCAAAAATTTGATAATTTACGACTGTTTAAATGGGTTAAAATAAGTTTAGAAAATATGAAATGTATACTGACAGAGAACTTATGAGCTTTAAACATACAAGGAGAATAACAAGTTTACTACATTATCTGAAATTTAATGGTTCTTTGTACAAACCAAATGGCTCTGCCACTAGGCCTTATATCATGCAAAGATATAATTTTGCTTTTTTTTTTTTTTTTTTTTTTTTTTTTTTTAAGCTCAAACTTCAGAACATCCTTCACCAAGATCCCAGTGGAGGCAGCTAGGTACTGGGTGATACTGTAACCAGCACATTCTATGGTTACCCTAACCATGTAGAAATGACAAAGTAAAGCAAATTAGTCTGAAATGGGTTTTAAAATATTTCTGGGAAATTGTTTTTTGCTTTCACATTTACTCAATATCCTTTTAAATCTCTAATAATAAATCTGCATTCATATTCTAAACACATTAGAATATTATCTACACTAATTTCGTTTTACAAACCTTGCACAAGAAGCCATATTACCAAATGAAACAAGAAGTGGGTCACAATTCATGAACCATTCTAACAGCAATTTTTTCAAGTCATACTGGTTGCATGCAAGCAATGCTAACCTTACATCATGGTCACACCAACTCCCTCACAAGACCCCGAGGCATATCTGCATTAAGTTGTATTTTTTCTTAGTGTACAAGAAGTTTTCATACCTTACAACGCCCAAAAATTGACAATTTTTAAATTTAAAAAGGAATTTGGGGGGAAATTTTTCAGTTTGGATCAGTTTTCTGACAATCCCCCTTTTAAAATATTTAAATTACATTTACCAAAATAATATCTTTGATTTTTTTTGAAGCAAAAATTTTAAAAACAATCAGTAATAATTAAAAAAAGATGTGGGGAGTAGGTTTTTATTATTATTATAAAAAAAAAAGAAGCGCTAAGCCAAAAGGGCTATCAGCGTGCGGGGTGGGAAAGGAAGCGAGGGTTTGGGGGAGAAGGGGGGAGGGGCGATCTAGGGTTTAAAAAACAGCGGGACAGGGGATAGTGCAGGGGGAGAGGGGGCAAAAAATCGAGGGAGAAAGGGCTTAAGGGACAAATTTGTGAAGTCATCATTTTTGTCAAAGTTTATGGAAAAAGGCGGAGAAAGGAGGGGCCATTTAGCGAGAAGGAAGGTAAAGAAGCACGGGCGAAAACAGTTGGGGGTACTTTTTGCGTGCTCGTTTTATAAAATGGCAGTCTAACAGGATTGGGTGACCATAATGGAACCTGACAATTCTCACAGAGGAGCAGGGGCCCCCCCCACGAGTATCCAGAGTAAGAAGAGTATGGCCAAAGCGGGGGAACGGGGGAGATAGTCTCCCAACCCCGGCACTGGTACAAGAAAAAGCCATAACCCATACTCGGGGTTTTAAAATTTAAATTTGTTACCAGTAGACAACGGTTTTTTAAACGGGTGTGAAGGTGGGTAGCATTGCAGCAAAAAAGTCCGAAAAGAACACCTATAAAACTGGGAGGTCTGTACGCTGACGTGCAGCAGGCTGCCTGTTCTTGCCCCGTACTCAACATGACCAGGACCCCCCCAAAAACTTTCTTTATGCTTGGGAGAGATGCGGGATAGCCAAAGTTGGGTTGGGGGGACTAAAGGCGAGGGGTACAAATTTTTTTGTATAGCTGTGAAGCACTAAGGGGGCTGAGACAACCCAAATGATGACACAGGCATAATGCAATACGGATAAATGCTGCAAGAATGGCATACAATTCAGCATAAAGATCAGCCGAAGATGTAAATGCCCCGTACAAAACACTGTCCGGAAACACGCTGCGAATCCTACGCCGTAAAAGAAGACTGGACCCACCTTTTACACTAAAATCAGACAAAGTGGAAGTGTCAAGAAAAAGAGCGGGAAAGGCCCCCGTAACAGTTGGGGCTTTAGAGAAAGGGAGGAAAAGAACAACTCGAACACGGGAACTTCCAGGGGGTGGGGAAATGAATGCTAAAAACGAAATAGAAAGGTGGAAATTGAAGAAAACGAGCAAATTGGGCGAAAGAGAAGGGACGGAGCAAACAGGGCGGCAAACAAATAAAGAATGTTAATAACGTGACCTTCTGAAATGGAAGGATTGCGGAGATCATGAGAGCGTACATGAGCCAAGGAAATGGGCATCAGGGCGATGGGATAAGGAGGAACGTTCACTTCTGCATAGAGGCTCTCAACAGGGAAGAGCAAAAAGCAAAAAAGGCATAAACGTAACCCTTTGGGTGTGAATAGGGTTGAGGCTAGATAGAGTAGCAAGGCACTGAATAGATCTTGTCCCCATAATCAATTTTCGATAAAATGAGGGTGGAATGTAGGCAAAGGAAGTTCGACATCAGCTCCCCATGAAAGTGAGAAAGGGGTTTTAAGAAGGTTCAGCCGGCTGTGACAATTTGTTTTCAGAGAGGTAAATGTGAGGTTTCCAGGTAACCTTGTCAAAGAGAAGGCCTGAAACCTGACTATCCTTTCAGGGATACAGGGGCCAAGTGTATAAAGGATACAGAGATGACAGAGCATCTAGTGAAAATAATTTGGAGAGTTTTTTTACTGGAAAATTTAAACCCCTGTTGGGGCCCCAAATTGGGTTTTATTTAATCAAAAAGAAGCGCAAGCCACAAGGCTATACAGGCTGCAGGGAGGGAAGGAAGCAAGGGAAATTGGGGCAGAAAGGGGGGGGTGATCACATTACAGAAACAGCGGGGGAGGGGGTAGTCGGGGTAAGGGGCAAGAATTTTAAGTAGAAAAAGGGTGAAATATCAGAAACTGTGAAGTAGTCAGTCTTGTCAAAAAGCAATGAGAGGGGCCGGATGAAAGGTGGTCCATCACGAGAAGGGGAAAGGGAAAGGAGAGCCGGGCGAAGACGACCGGGGGGTTAAATTCTCGTGCTCGTTGTAAAGTGGGCGCCCCCCCCCCCCAAAAGAATGTGCTGACGAAATGGAGCTTGGCAATTCTCACAGAGAGGAGCAAGACCCTCTCCTTGAGATAATCCATGAGTAAGACGATATGCCAATGCGAAGACGGGAGAAGTAGTCTCCCAACCTCGACACTGGTGATAAGAAGACGGAGCATAACCTAATACTACTCGTTTAATAGACTGAAGTTTGTTTGCCAAGCCTAGTAGACCAACGTTGATGCCAGGGTGTGAAGGTGGGAAAATTAATACAGCAAAATAGTCCGTACAATTCGGGACAACCTCTATAAAAACTGGTAGTCATTGTACTGCAGACCGCGCAGCCGGTGTCTGCCTGTTCATTGCCCCAGTCAAACTAAACATGACCAGGGACCCAACAAAAAACAATATATCTTTAATGCTAAGTAAAGATGGCGGCTATCCAAAGTGGATACGGAGCTAATGGGTAGGTGATCAAATTTTTTATAGTCCAGTAAAGCACTAAGGTATCTGAGACAACACACAAATGATGACACAGGCATAGATGCAATACGGATAAGTGCTGTAAGGATGGCATAAAATTCAGCAGAAAAATACTGCTGAAGAAGTAAATGCCCTGTGGTACGCGCATCCGGAAACACTGCTGCGAATCCTACGCCGTCAAAGACTTAGAGCGCATCCTGGTACACAGTCACTGCATAGAATGAGAGTGAAAGTGGTCAAGAAAAAGAGAGCGGGAACGACCGTAGACAGTTGGCTTTCGAGCAAGGAGGCGAAAAGAACAGACTCGAATAGCTGGAACTTTTCCAGGGGGTAGGGAAAAGTGAGATGCTCCAAGTACATAGAAAGGTGGTAGTTGAAGAGAAGACAAGAGCACTGTAGCGAAGAGATAAGGACGGAAGTTTTAAGCATGGGCGGCGAACAAATAAAGAATGTCTAACTAATATCAGTGACCATATCTATAAATGGAAGATTGGCGAGATCATGAGAGCGTACATAGTAAGCGCAGGCAATGGGCATCACGGCGACGTGATAAGGAATGAACGTTCGCTTCTGCATAGAAGGCTTTCGACAGGGGAAGAGCGAAACGCACCAAGGCCTAAACGTAAACCTTGTTAGAAGGGTTAAGGCTAGAGAGAGTACAGGAAAGCCCTCTGAATAGTCTGGTCCACCATAATCAAGTTTCGAATAAAATAAGGTGGAAATGTAGTGGAAGGAGGTTAGACGATCTCTCCCCATAAAGTGAGCAAGGGTTTTAAACGAAGGTTCAGGCCGGCTTTGTCAAGTTGCCTTCAGAGAGGTAATGTGAGGGTTCCATGATAACCTACCGATCAAAGAGGATGGCCCAGAAACTTGACTATCACGTCAGGGATACGGGAGCCATAGAGGTACAAAGGAATGATCGGAATGACGAGCGTCTAAGTGAAAGTGATTTGGTGGGTATGTGCTGGAAAATTAAACCCAGTGTGTGGTGGCCCAATTGGAACAGCGTCCGAACTGCATGCTGGAGAGAAACGTAAGGAGGTGACAGTCAGCGCCTGCACAGTCAATAGCGAAGTCATCAACATAAGTGAGACCCACAAAATATTTGATGGACAACAATAGCACAACTCATAATAGCAAGGAGAAAAAGTGTTGTGCTCAGAACACATCCCTGGGGACCACCTTCAGCATGGATAAAGTCCGGGGAGAGCACATTAATAACCCGACACACGGAAATGCCTGTCAGTTTTAAAAAGATCTTAAGGAAGGATGGAAGATTTGCTCAAGGCCTCGAGGATGGCTTGGCTAAAATAATATACCTCCAAGTTGTGTCATATGCCTTCTCAAGGTTCAAAAAATATGGCAATAACTGAGTGTTATTCGCAAAGGCATTACGAACATACGTATCCAAGCGCAGTAAGGGGTCTAATGTTAGAACGTCCCTTACGAAATGCCATATTACGAGTGGAGAGA